GATGATATAATTTGTTTATAGACTCGTAATCAGAGTACACACTTCTAGTTCTCCTGCACTCGGCATATTTTATATACCATATATCTTGTCAACCCATTGCAGAAAACTACAGGCAGAGTGCGCTGGATGTGCTGAATGGAAAGTACCAGGGGCATCACCAGCCGGTGCCGAACTCGCAGGACGGCAACGGGGCGAATTATGTGGAGGACTCGTGGATCTACACCTTTTGCTTGAAATGCCGCGGCGAGGAGCCGAGCGAATCATGGGAGCCGCCCTTCTGGCAAAAGATCTTTCCCTATCCGCTGTGCCCCACCTTCAGGACATTCTCTCGTCTCATTGTTCTTATTTTGATTGGTGAGTGAGCAATATATCTGTCTGTCTCTCTCTCTCTCAACTGATATGTGTTCGTCTTGCAGGTTTGCTACTTTGGATTGTGGCATTTGTGATTATCGGGGACACAGCTGCGCCGGGCGGTCAACTGTTTAGCCTGGTGGTGCTGACCGTGGCCGCCAATTTCGGTGGCTATCTGATATCGTTGACCACCCTGCCACGTCTGATTGGTATGCTGCTGGTGGGCATACTCTTCCAGGTGAGTCGCGAGTCTCCACTGCCAAACTGCAGATCAATTTCTTATGATTTTCATGCTGCTTTCAGAACGTTGGCTGGGTGGATCTCGACGGCGACTTCTCGAAAGTGACGGCGCATCTGCGCAAGTTCGCTTTAACCATAATCCTGACTCGAGCTGGCCTCGAAATGGAACCGGAAGCTTTCAAGAAGGTGTACAAGACCATTCTCAAGCTGGGCATTGTGCCCTGGTTTGTGGAGGCCGCCATCATGACGGTCATGTCACATTTTCTGCTCGACTTGCCCTGGATCTGGGGCTGCATGCTGGGCGCCATCATTGCCGCCATCTCGCCAGCCGTCGTCGTGCCCTGCCTGTTCCGGCTGCGCACCAAGGGCTATGGCGTGGTCAAGGGCATACCCACGCTTGTGGTTGCTGTCGCTGGCGTTGACGATGCTCTCTCTGTGGCCATCTTCGGCATTGTCAGCACAATTATGTTCTCGGACAAGGGACTGGGCTATCAGATTGCCCAAGCGCCGGTCTGCATACTGGGCGGCCTGGCCTTTGGCGTTATCTGGGGCTCGTTGGCGCGCATCTTTCCGGAGAAGGGCGACGCCTATGTGGTGCCGCTGCGCACACTGATGCTCTTCGCCGGCAACCTGGTGGCCATCTATGGCAGCGAGGAGCTGGGCTTCGAAGGCGCCGGGCCCTTGGCCGTCGTCTTCTCATCCTTCGTATCGAATCTGTTTTGGTGCAAGGACGGCTGGGAGGTCGATGATAATCCGGTATCGACTGCGTTCGAGATCTTCTGGATGATCTTTGAGCCGATTCTCTTTGGCCTGACCGGCGCCACAATCAAAATCAGCGAGCTGGACTCGCACACAGTATCCATTGGAGCGGCCTGCATCTTTACGGGCGTCATCATACGCATCTTTGTCACAGCTGGCATTGCCTTTGGCGATCGCCTGAACACCAAGGAGAAGTTCTTTGTCGGGCTCTCCTGGATGGCCAAGGCAACGGTACAGGCTGCTCTGGGGCCCGTGGCCCTAAAGAATCTGGGCAGCGATGCCACAGACGAGGAGCGCAAATGGGCTGAAATTGTGCAGACCATTTGCGTCTTCAGCATTGTGCTGACAGCTCCATTGGGCGCAATTCTGATATCCGTAACCGGCACCAGAATGCTGACCAAGACGAAGCAGCCTCAGGATCTGACCGGCTGGCGTCGCAGTCATCGTCCCTCTATACGCGACATAAGCATCATCGACGAGGAGGAGGAGCGCGAGGATCCCGAGTTGCCCAGAGACAAGCAAACGGACGACAATACGCAGAGTAATGCACATTTAACAAATCTATCATATACCGCAAATAAGTAAATTCCTATATGCGTATTTCGCGTCCTGCTCCAGTTTTTTGTTGGACTAAGATATAATGTTGATTGTTATTATACAGTATTTAGCATAGTGGAGTTGCATTCCAAATAAATAATAAGTTTAAATTGATTATAAAGTGTTTCTCCATATGGTTGAATGTCTCAAGAACTAATCGAAGCTGGGCTGACGTGAGAGTAACTAAAGAACAAGAAGATTCAATTCTTCAAAAGTAAAGATGGCAGTATCTTATATGACAGGCCTTTGGGGCGATTCGAACCTGAAACCTTTTTATGCAGTGGGTTTAAAAAAAAGGCACTTTCATTATTCGATTTGGATTTTTTATTAGGGGTTCGTGTGCTCGCTGTAGCCCTTTTATAAGTCGACGGGCTGCCTTTATTGATCGTTTTCCATAGCATACTTTTTGGAGTAGGATCAAATGCCCTAAATTAATTCTAGAGTTGCTTAGAAAATCTCCTCGATAACTGCAACAATAAACTGTTTTTAAAATGTATTTATTCTTAAACTTCAAATTTCATTTAAGAAATATGGAATTAATAGCATAGCAATATAGCAAGAACTTTATATTAATAAGTTATTTGGCCTAAATTGAGTTTACATCTACTTTTGTCAATATTTTTGAAGACGTTTATATCTTATAAAAACTGGTTTGTTGCCAAGCGCCATGAATTTGTTGTTTAACAAAAACAATAATTAGATATATAAAAAAATAGAAGCGTCTTCTTCAGCAGGCCGAAGCTAAAATACCCTTTTGGACAGGTGGCTTGCGGTTAAGCAGAAAAATTAGGAGCATAATGAAGAGACTTTTTAAAAACCTGATAAGTTTTGAAAACAAGAACTCATTGCTCGGTAGATACATGAGATATTAGTTCGATGCTGATCAGGCTTTGCAAATATATATAAGTATTTACTTTTAAATAAAATATTTACTGCCGAGTTTGGTCTGATATCTGGATATCTGGAAGGAGGAACATGGATATATCGACGCTACAGTTGATACAAATCAAGCAAAGACAAATCCTCTATGGAGCTGGATGACGTCTTCTTCTGTGCGCTACACAATTTATGTTAAAATAATAATGTCCAAACGACAAAAGTTAAATATTGATATGCTTAATTGAATATCAAAACAAGAGACAAACAAAATATTTTTCTTTGATTGAGAGATTTGATGATTCATTTGTTTTTGATTTAAAAGAATATGCTTGACGTGACAGTTTACACGTAGTTTTTTTTACATATTGCTGTGATAAATTCCTAAATTTGGAAAAATTTTGTTCGATTCATTTTATTTATTTCACAAACAGGTTTTAAATGTCGAACAAATTAACAATTTCCATACGCAAAGCGAATTTATCAGCTATAAATATTACATACCATTTTTTCTTTTTTTTAGCCAATTTCACTAAACGAACTTCTTGCAGTTATTATCATTTAAAATTCATGTAATTATTTGAAATTGTTAATAGTTTTTGTTTATATTTTCTTTCTTTTTTTTTGAGCATTGCACATGAGCTTTTAATCTGGTCTGGCATTGCGCGAGCGATAAATAATAAAATTGTATAATTAACGATTTAAATAACAGCGCGCAAAAAAAATGCTCGACCAGTCCACACATGAGTTGCGAGTTGCTTTGTTGGATTTAATCTAACAAACCGCATGACTTGATGCCAAATTCTGGACACAAAAAACAGCCCGAAAAGGCGGGAGTGGTCAACTTAGAGATACTCTATAAACTGTTGTTTTTCCTGAAAGCTTGAAAGCATTTGAATTGTTGAGTTTTTTGTATTATTTTGTGCATAGTTTAACAATGCCGTGGAAAATATCATGCGTTAGGTTTGGAGCGCCCTTATCTTTATTTTCAACCTTTAACCTTTATCTCCCGCAGCACTAATTTGTCGTTAACGTACTAGTTATTAAATAAACTCAATGCTTAGGTTTATCTTTTGCGTAAAAGGGACAGCTGAGTTCCTATATTCAAAGTTTTCAACCCAAGACTTTGCTGTTTTTTAGATGAATCATTAAATACGATTTGTATTTGATTGAGATTTATATTTGCCTGAACACATTTGTATATAAAACAGAAGAAAAGGCAAGGTAAAGTAAAATATTTTCTTTACCTTGCTGATATTTACAAGAATTACTTTTCTTTCTCACAGAAAGATTGATTACCCGAAGATCGGCAAGGCATGAAAGAGCCGATAAATTTGGCATTTATGAAAGTATGTAATACTCAATATAAAAATATAACAAATTAATATAATCTGCATAAGGATTGTTTAATTTATTGAAATAAAAACTGTTTTAATATATCAAAAGCAAATCGCCACAAAATGTCGTCTTACTCCAATGAACAGCTAGTTGTTAATGAAATTCTGCCCTGAATAATACGTTGACATTTTTTCAATATATTCATTTGATGCCATTGAAGTTCTCATTCTTTGTTAATAGCGCTCTTTTGCGTAACCTAATCGCATCGATTTTATGTTACCGATTCCCATTGTGCGGGGTATAACAAAAAGCCAGATTTAACAAACAAACAAACAAAATTCAAAGGCTACACACATATAAGAGAGAGCGAGGAAAAAAAAGGGGGAAAAATGCGATAGAGTAACAAATTTCATTAAATAATTAATTCAGCCTCGTTATTATGAGACGACGATTGTCTACTGGGCGCTCACGTGAATTTGTTTAGACAAAATGCGTCACAATTAAATGACAAACAAACCGATCAAAGCCTAAAACCGACAGCTGCTCGACGAGCTTGACATAAACCAATCCGCGACCATGCCCAGTTTTTTTTTGGGTTTGGGGCGTCGACTAATTAAAGCTAATTATTGCCAAAAAAAATGTTAAGTTTTTTATGGCTAGCTGATATATTATTTTTGTATAAAATAATAAATGTTTGCATTAAGCATTAAGACTTTTCACACATGCCACACGCACGCACACACACACACACACATGTACAGCTGGTGCCCATCGAACCCGCACCCCACCCAAAAGCTGAGCTCAGAGTCGAGCACAGCGCGCGCTGATGAATTTATTTGAACGCTAAACGCCGAACGCGCTAGTTGTGAGGCCCGCGCAACGGATAAATTACGATAATCGAGCGCGAAGTGTGTAATGTATATCGTAAGCAGGCCATAAGCTTCATTAATCGAGTACTCGAACGTCACATAATCCTGCAGAGTCACAAGACGATGACGACCCATGCGGATCGCGGCGATGAGTCCGGCACAGTCGCCACCACGCCGACAAACAGCACGGCCGGACCCGCATCGCTGGCCATCAATGTGCCGGCGGTGCCCGGCAATGAGGCGCAGACACCATCGCCCAATCATAGGAGCAGCATCGTCATCGAGAGCCAGCCGAAGCGGCGTGTCAGCATTGTCTCCGAGCCACCGGCGCTGGGCTCCAACAACTCCGGCTACGATAATCCCGCCTTTGAACGCAAAATCTCGCAGGTGAGTTACGGTCAAGTGATGTGACGGATCGATTAGAGCTGCGCGTCTGCTCCGGGTGATTACGATCGTAACTTTTCGTTTATGCCAGTCATATACTCGTAACACTCGCATATAATATACACACACGCGTGCACATCCATATAATAGATATTGGATGACGGCATTTTTAATGATGCTCGTAATTGTTCAAGTGATCGCCGTGATCAAGTGCCTAGGGATTTACGCGCACTGTTAACTAATCAAAGCTCACAATCTACCCAAAAAAAAAAGAAATACAAAAACAAATTCAATTTCGGCACAGAGCTCAACACATGCACCCCTCGAGATCGGACCGCCCGGTCGCAGGAGAAGCATCCTCAAGGATACATTGGCCCACGACAACGACAGCGATCGTGTTTCGACAAATAGTTATGGTAAGTTAAGATCAGAGTTTGATTCGAATTAAAAAATTTAAGAAAAAAATACACATATATATAGATATTAAGTTAAGGCCACAATTTGATTCGAAAAGAAGAAATTGAAAAACAAAAATGACGTTCCTAAATCTTGATTCCCAATTCGAGAATTGAAAGAGAAAATCTTAAATAGAATTTTTGGTATTTTTTTAAATAACAAACTATAAATTGTTCAAATTGAACTAAGCTAATTTCAATACAAATTTAAAGCTTAAAGATTTGTTTCCACCATTATTTAAATTAAAAAAAAATATTTAACAAATTCTCTTTTCAACTTCTCTTAGTGTAGCTTTATACAGATTATCGGATGAATATGATTATTGGGCTGCAGCAATCAATTTTTGTTAACTTGCGAAAACTCATATTCGTTAGATAATTCAAATTGTTTAATTAAGCACTTGATTGCTTTTTTGCGAATTTGTATTTGAATATGGATCTCATGTGTTTGTATGCAACGATTAGCTGTCAATTAGTTTAGACAATCTACAGCAAGTGTTAAAACATATTTATAATTCGGGGGGCTTTAAATATTGACACAGAATGTCATTAAAGCTTAAAAATGTGATTCATTCTACTTATTTGAGTAAATAATCTCGTCACATTAGTGTTGCGTGTTTGTACTCAAGAGCAATATTGACTGATGTCTTAATTAGTTCGTTTTCTCCAACCTTACATATAAATGCGAAATCTCATAGGCAAAAAGTTCAAGTAGTTAAGTGTAACCGACTGGCAGCTACCCTGTGCTTAGCTTAACTGCCCATCTTTTCATTAGATCGGACATAGTAACTCTTATAATCTTCGAGACATGCTCAAAAAGCGGGAATAAATATAATTAAATTCGATAATTATCGAAGAGTACAAATGATCTGCCAAAAATGCATGGCAAAATTTTCTGAAAAGCTCAGAGAACTTCACGTGATACCAATTAATATTATTAATAAGTCAAGAAAAAATTCAATTGAACTTAAATGCAGACTTAATAATAGATAATTCTTGTGAAAAAAAGAAAAGGGCCTACTTGACCTCCCAGTCAACTTAAGAACATGTGATCGCAAAATTTAATTATTTCGAATATAAATATATTCATATATTATATTTGCGCAGCTGGAATTCGTAATTTCGGGCATTCCAAAATAAATTAAATATACAAAGAGCAAAATGCTTATGTGCAGAATTATAGACAATAATATTGATAATAATAATAATGATAGCAATGATAATTACAAAGACCTACCCAGAGCTCAGAACTGAGAATGTCAGTTAGCAAAAGCAAATGAAATCTTGAACGAATGTCAATTGAATTCGATATCGTAAGGTTGGCATTAACAATTAACGTGCCGCCGGAAAGTGACGTTTCGATTCCGTCTCTAGACATGCAGATGCCACACTTATCATCCAATTAGCGCCAGATTTTAATTTGTTGCGTCTATATATCTAGTGAATACCCTTGATAATGTCTGTCTATTCATGCCGCAGAGAACTACAGACAGAGCGCGCTAGACGTGCTTAATGCCAAATACAATAGCCTGCAGGCAGGACAGGGATCTCCGGACAGCAATGGCAATTACGTGGCACAGTCATGGATATACAATTTCTGCTTGAAGTGCCGCAAGGAGGAGCCATCCGAGTCATGGGAGCCGCCATTCTGGCAAAAGGTTTTCCCCTATCCGCTGTGTCCCACCTTCAGGACTTTCTCCCGCCTGGTCTCGCTCATCTGCATTGGTAAGCTCCACATTCAAATTGTTCCCATTGAGCATATACATATATATATACTTATATATTTATACCAGGTGCGCTACTTTGGATCGTCTCGTTTGTGATCATTGGGCATTCGGCTGCGCCTGGTGGGCAGCTTTTCGATCTGGTTGTGCTCACAGTGGCTGCAAATTTCGGCGGCTATCTCATGTCCTTGGCCACCCTGCCACGCCTCATTGGCATGCTGCTGGTGGGCCTATTGTTTCAGGTGAGTTTCGCTGTGAGTGTCCGTGTTTTGGCTGCTTCACATTATCTGTGTTTTTTTGTTGTTCATAGAACGTCGGCTGGGTGGATCTCGACGGTGACTTCTCCAAGGTGACCGCCCATTTGCGCAAATTCGCGCTTACCATAATTCTGACTCGAGCTGGCCTCGAAATGGATCCGCAAGCCTTCAAGAAGGTGTACAAAACAATACTCAAGCTGGGCATTGTGCCCTGGTTTGTGGAGTTCGGTGTTCTGGCGGTTATGTCCCACTATCTGCTCGGCCTACCGTGGATCTGGGGCTGTCTCATGGGCGCCATTATGGCAGCCATTGCACCAGCCGTCGTCGTGCCCTGCCTGTTCCGGCTGCGCACCAAGGGCTACGGCGTGGCCAAGGGCATACCCACGCTTGTGGTCGCCGTGTCTGGCGTGGACGATGCCATCTCGGTGGCCATTTTCGGCATCATCAGCACGATCATGTTCTCGGACCGTGGCCAGCTCTATCTGATTGCCCAGGTGCCGGTCTGTCTGATTGCCGGCCTGGGCTTCGGCCTCATCTGGGGCCTGTTGGCCCGCATCTTTCCGGAGAAGGGCGACGCCTACGTGGTGCCGCTGCGCACGCTGCTGCTGTTCATCGGCAACCTGGTGGCCATCTATGGCAGCGATAAGCTGGGCTTTGAGGGCGCCGGTCCCTTGGCTGTCGTCTTCTCGTCTTTCATATCCAATTACTTCTGGTGCAAGGATGGCTGGACCATCGATGACAATCCGGTGGGCACTGGTTTCGAGATCTTCTGGATGATCTTTGAGCCCATTCTGTTCGGCGTGACGGGCGCCACGATCAAGCTGCACGAGCTGGATCCGAGCCTGCTTTACATTGGTGCCCTCTGCATTTTCACAGGCGTCATCATACGCATCCTGGTCACAGCTGCTATTGCTATTGGCGATCGCTTGAACATGCGCGAGAAGTTCTTTGTGGGCCTATCCTGGATGGCTAAGGCAACAGTTCAGGCTGCTCTGGGACCTGTGGCTCTCAGGCATTTGGGCGCTGATGCCACAGACGAGGAGCGCAGCTGGGCCAAAACAGTTCAAACCATTTGCATTTTTAGCATATTGCTGACAGCTCCCTTGGGCGCGATCCTGATATCCGTGACTGGGCCCAGGATGCTGACAAAGACGAAACAGGCTCAGCAGAATCTCACTGGCTGGCGTCGACCCTCCATACGCGACATCAGCATTATCGACGAGGAGGAGGAGCGCGAAGATCCCGAGCTGCCGCAGGACAAGCAGACCCAGGATAATACCCAAAGCAATTCACAATTTCCAAACTTTTCATACACTCCATACAACAAGTAGTTGGGAGACAAATTCAACGCAGGCGCCAATTACTCTTAAGCCCAACGAATTGTTAATTCTTTTTACTTTGTACAATAAAAGCCAAAAGTAAAAAAAATAATTACACACACAATTTCCACATCCATCCACATTAAAGTACATTGGTGAAAGTCGGTTTAAATATTTCCATGAAACGATGCCGGACTCGAATCGGTCGGATTCAAAACAGCTTTTCAGTCTGAAGTTTTATAACGTTTTGCTGCACTCCTTCGATAAATATAAATAATCTTGATCCAGGCTTGTAGATTACAAGAGCTGAAGACACCAAATTTGGTACGTCGATTCTCGATTTGCATGGATAAAACTACAGAATTTTACTTCGAGCCCCAGAAATAGGTAACGCCTTTAGCTAAGGCACTGCGAAATAATTGAGCTATCGCTTTTAAAATTCCAAATATCATTAATAAATTTGACATTGTCTGCCAATTGCCAATCCGATTTCAGGCAGGTAAAATATATGAGAGACAATAATTTCGATAACAATTTTCCTATAAATCATTTTTCCATCTCAGGCTTCAATCTGCTGCAATTGACTATAAATATATTTTATGGCCTATTGTTGAATATATATATTTTTTATTTTTTTAGAGCTTTGCAGTAGCCGTCGCAGTCAGCTGTATTGGCTGTTAAGCTCGTTTACAATGACATCAGGGATCATTAAAGTGAGAGAGATAATTGTGAATGTAAAAACTTTACACTGTCAAAAAACAAAAAAAATGACTGATAGTAAATCATTTATAAATACTAGACTCGTGTTCTACTAAACTGCATTTGGTATTCAATTCTCTAGATAATAAACTTTGCGTTTCAGTTTTAGATTTCCACTCATTTTCCGCTCGTGTGGGTGAAATATTCAAAATCGATTGTGTTTAGTAATTGATTAACGGCTTATACTATATCTTAAAGAGGCTTTAAGCAAACTGGACTTTGCTCATTCAACCTGTCAATCTCATTTTTCAGCTTGAAATAGTACAAAGATGCGTTAAGGCTGATATATCAAATAAATTGGCAAAAATAGTATATATTATTAATTGTCTTTGAATAAAAATAGAAATCGTAATGTTTAGAAGATCTCAATACTCTGCAGTACTTCGGATAAGTCCATTTTAAAAATCTTCTGAAGTTTTCTATAGAACTTGCATAGCACAAATCCATTAATTAGTCCATTAGCATGATGTGCTCGGAAATTGTAAGCGGCTAAATGAATCTTGAGCGGAAGAAGGTTTGACCTGAGCTTATAAATATTTTTGCACGGGTTCGCCGAGAATAGTTTCCAATTCTTGGACAGCGCTGCGCGTGTTCTTCTCGACACGATCGTGCTCATCCTCGAGCAGTTCGGCTATGAACGGCACCGTCTCCGGCAGCAGGGGGGCAAAGCTCTCGCCCAGCTTGCGGGCAATGGCCACGCTGGTGTTGAAGGCCAGGATGCGTACCTCGGGCGTGCTGGTGCGCGTCTTGAGCAGCACCTGGTTGTTGAGCTGCTTCCATAGCACATCGTTGGTGGCAGCAGCCAGCTGGGCAATGCAGTCGCTCAGAGTTTGCTGCAGCTGCTCGCGATCGCTGGCCAGCACCAAGCTGTTCTCCAGCTGATCCACGAGCGGCGGCATCAGAGTGCGGAATCGATGATCGTTGACAAAGTCGCTGCTGCAGTGCAGGAACACATGATGCAATGTGCTGAGTATGGCCGACAGCAGTTCCACAACGTTCTCGACGTCCACATCTTCGGCCAGCTCCTGACGCAATGTGTTGTGTTCCTGCAGTAGCCGTGCAGCATCCTCGATAAAATCGCCCGCGAAGAGCACGAACAGCGACTTGAGCGCCTCAGCAATGCGTTTGGTCAGCAGAAAGTAGGTGAGCTGCGGTTCCAAATCCTTGCGCTCCATGGCCCACTTATGAACCCGGCCAAACATGGGCCGGAAACTCGTCTCGGACAGCTTAAGTATCCAGGCCACAAAAGTCTCAATCACGGATGCCTCAATATCCGCCAGGCGCTGCCGCTGCAGCTGACGTCCGCGCACCTGCAGCCGGAATTCAAGCGCCTGAAGGAAGAGCTCAGAAAGCGGTTCCTGCACGGCCTGTAGATCGGCATTTCCATTGTGCTTAATGCAGGGCAGCAGTAGCTGCCGCATAAGCATGCCCAGCTCGTCGTAGGCCTGCGCCTCCAACAGGCTTTCGTAGGTCTTGGCACAGCTGGGCACCAAAATGCGAGCCTCCACGCCCTGCGCCACCGCCGTCCACACGTCCACAATGCGCAGCTTGAGGGCCTGGGTGCGCTTGTCCAGCGCCAGCTGTGCACTCTCCAGCTGTACCGAGAGTCTTATGAGCGCGCCGATAATATCCACCAGATAGGGTCCCAGGAAGAGCGGCAGTGTCAGGAATAGCTTGTGCATGGCTTTAAGTAGAAGGCAGGATGAATTCCACGTTAATATTGTGCAAGAATAACTGTGACAAATCCGAATCCTACATGGTTTTCTAGCGATGCAGTGATATAATGGATTCCTTTTATTTATGAATGATATTATTAAAGTGCGTAGATTCGATTCTTCCTCCTTTTCTCCAAAGCGCTGGACTCTGTCTTTTAGAGTTAAACATTTCCAAAATTTTTGGGAGTATGTTGGGAGATATTCCAAAAAGTGGAAAATTATTTATCTGTGTATACTGCACAAGAACCTTCATACATTATTTAAGGTATATGGCTCTTGAATTCCTTGAGGCTTGCTTAAAAATCCTTGTCTTAAAATGGATATTTATGAATTTTGTGCGATTAGGAGGATATCCAAAACTAATGCTCGTTTTTGAAAAATGTCCAATTTCTAGATTTGACAGTACTCCGGAAAAACAAAAGAAGAAAGAGGGACATACAGACTTGGCTAGATCGACCTGATCAAAAACCGAATACTTTGTGGGACGGGAAATGCTTGCTTCCGTTTGCGCACAAACAATCCTCAATTTTTACCAAGCTAAAGATTGATATAGACAATAAGACTCACCTGTAACCAGTGCGGAGCAGACATAGTCGGGCGCTTGTCGTTGGGTTAGCAGCAGCTGCACCTGTTCCTTGAGCAATTCGGTTAGCTGTGGCGCAAACTTGGGCAGCTGGGCCAGGGCGTGCGCCTTGATGCTGCCGCAAATCTCGACAAGGGTGAGCACCACATTGCCGACGACAGCCTTGGGCACATTGGCGCGTCGCTTGGTGATGCGCGTCAGCTTGGCCAGCAGTGTGCGACACTCCTCGACATAGTCGCGTCCATGGCGATGGGCCAGCAGCTGCATGGCGTGCAGGGCCGTCTGCTGCAGCTGCGCCTGCTGAGCATTGCTGCCGCCCGTGGTGTCCAGCACGCCGTCAATGATGGCGCCCAGCGGCTCGAAGAGCACACCAAAGTGCGCCGCCTGGGACTGGGCAAAGTAATCGCTGGGTGGCGTCAGTTTGGTGACCAGCAGCTCGAGCACCTTGATGCGCACATAGATCAGCTCGTGCTGCAGCAGCTCTGTGATCACATTGAGGAAATACTCGGGCGAGAGCAGCCCAATCGCATTGTCCAGTACATCGTGCACATGATTCGCCAGCACGCGCCAATATTTCTCCAGCGACGGCGACGCCGAGCCCGTCGCCAATTGCAGTGCATTATTGACCACGCCCACATAGGCAAGTGTCTTGAGTATAAAGTTTTGATAGAGTGGCCGCAGCTGCTCCAGCTGCTGCGTCCTGGGGCTGCCTAGTTTGGCCTGGAACTCTACGGCGCTGCTCAGCCCGGACAGATAGTCCATGATGAGGTATTTATAGTGTCGCAGCTGCTTGAAGCTGCGCGTGCGCACATCGAACAGCTGCTGTTCGGGTGAGATGTTGTTGCCGGCTGCCGGGACTTGGCTCTGCGTCTCCTTGTTGATGGGCAGCTTGGCCAGATAGTCGAGCAGCTGTATGCACGTGTCCAGTATGATCTCGGGCTGCTCGAACATCAGTGTTAGCTCGCGGGCAAACTCCACGCGCGACTTGTCCAAGGATTTGGTCGGCTTGCCCGACTGTGCGGGCGTCTGTTCCAGCAGCATTTGCGACTCGAAAATGATGCACAGAAATTGCCACAGATGCTGGCGGGGATCGAGCACACGAAAGAGCGTGTCGTAGAGCGGCAGGCGACGATGCACCGGCACATCCGTGCATATATCCGCAAACACCTTCAGCACGGCAATGACTAGGCGATCGCGCTGTGCGCCAGACTGCAGCAGGAGCGTGGGCACAATGGTCTCCACCACGTTCTTGATAATGTGCAGACTGAAGGCGTCGTCGTGGCGCGCCACCGTAGAGCCCACGAACGTAAAGATCTCGACTATCTTGTGCAGCACCTGCTGCGGATACAGGGCGGCGCAGCGTGTAAGGAAGAGCAGCGCATGCTGTTGCGTTTGCGGATTTTGTGTGTTGCGCAGACATTGGACCACCTGCTCGATGCGGAAACAGGACTCGGGCAGCACCTTAGACAGTTGGACGCCGGCCGCCTGCGACACGTCGCAGCAGTGCAGCAGGCTCGAGAGAATCAGTTGTTTGGGATATTCGGCAGCGCTGTGCTCCTCCAGCTGCAGGCACAGCTGCAGCAGCTCAAAGAGCGAGGGTATCAGCTGCTCGGCGCCCACCAGCTGTTTCTTGTGTTCCAGCAGCTCGAGCAGCGTCATGCCCTGCTTCCAGGTCACACAGGTCAAATCCAGTTTGGTATTTGGCTGGCCACGGCGTCGCTCCGGCTGCTTGGCCGGAATGATGCGCGTGCTCTTGCTGCACATGCTGGCCAGCATGCCAATCAGGGGCTGACACTCGATGCTGCAGCGCTTGAGCAGACGATGGGCCGCCAGAAAGATGCTATCGTTGTCGGATGCAGTGGCCGCCTCCACAATAAGCTGCAGCAGCTTCACCTTATGCTGGCTCTGCAGCTGCTCGTAGGTCTCCGGCGTCAGCGAATTGAGCAGCACGCAGGGCAGCGGCTGCAACTTCTGCTCCAGCTGCACATAAGTCGTGTGCTGCTTGAAGCTCGCCTCCAGCAGCTGCCAGGCGGCGGGCTGGTGCTTGAGAAC